AGACATCCGACTTTTCGGTTATTGGACCAAGATTCTTATTGACAAATTCGGGCGCCATAAATCCGCGTGTTCCAGCAAATGAGATGGGATCACAATGTACTAAACCAAAATCTGCAAGTTTAAACAATGGTTGATTTGTTTCTTTCACCAGGATATTGGCCGGTTTTAAGTCTCGATGTATCAACTGCTCATGGTGGAGCTCTTTCAAACCTTCTGCTATTTGTCCGAATATTTCTGATATCTGAGGGACTGTTATTATGTGTTTCTTTCGTCCAACATATGTTTCGAGATCACTGTCAAGTTTCTCCATAATCAAGTAATACATATTTGCTTCTGTTTCGCTCTTCTTGACACCGTAATATTCCACGATATTCGTATGACAAAGGCTCTTCATGTAGCGTACTTCTTGGATATTAAACGATTTGAGCGGTATCTTTTTTGCTGCCATCTCCCTTGTGTCACCGTCTTTCGTAACGATGTTGCCTGTAAATACTTGAAAATTACTTTCACCGAGTTTATTGTTTGTTATATTAAATTTTGGATAAATGGTCATGAATTGCGCATTAAGAAGATCCAGATATAATTCAGTTATCAGGCCTTTCTTATTTTTCACAAAGTCACTAAGTAAGTGGACATTCAGATGATCGTATTTAGCGCTTTTTTCATAAATTTTTGCAATTATTGCTCTGTATTGTTCACTGAGTGCTGTTAAAAGTGTTTCTTCTATTTGCTTATGCAGCAAAGTACAAAGTTCTTCTGCATAAGTATCAAGCGCACCTACAACTCGAACCTTTTTATAAAGATAACATCCAGCCAAGGGCAAGAGTGGCACCAAGATAAATGAACTACTTACGACAAGAGACACGATCACTGCTGTCGTCAATTTCGGATTGCATCTGACAATTTTGTAGAAACCCTCGTAAAAGGCTGTGTCAGTTGTGTACAAGTAAGAGTTTTGAAAAGTATCAAGTCTTGCGGTGTAAGGATTCACGTTGAATTCCGATAGAATCTGTTCATACAATTCTATCTGATATCGATCGAATTTCATCGAACAAAAACAATTCGTTAAGAATAGTGCACTTTTCTGCTTGATAATTAACTTGTTAGATTGTAATATTGCATTAAATCTATTAGTTAATTCGTCAGCCAGTTGTTGCTTCGAATCTTCCCTCAATCCCCGTAACTTTACTTTCGAAATAATAGCACAGAGGCTTTTTTCAGTTTCTTCTTGTATTGGTTTGGTTAGCTGTGAAACAAAAGAGGATATATACGTTTTAGATTCGTCAAAACTCGATCGAATAGGTTTTTCCAGTTGTTTACAACGCTCTAGCGTTCTCTTTGCGTCTCCGTAGTTTAACAGTTCTTGAATCACGTTTAATAAATAAACCAATCGACTATCAAACATCTTTTGGATGGCTTGTCTGAACCATTCTTTAGACTTTGAGATGAACTTTTGGCGACACTGAAGAAAGTCTCCGATATGAAAACGAGGATGATTACACATAGATATAAAATTGTTGGACGATTCAACATCTGAACCTAATTCAATTGGCATCTCATCTTTGAAGGTATCGAATAATTCCTGTAATACGGTATCTCTACTTTTTTTTGTTTGATTGTTGACTGTAAATGTGTCGATTAGAGTAACGATAAAACATACCATCTTTTGTGCAGAGTTGTTAACGTCTGCGTCTGACTGATCAAAATTTCGGTTTATTTTTAAGTGTGGTTTCATATACTCTTGAAACGATTGTCTTAACCTTTCCCTATGTGGTATTATCCCAAATATTACATCAGCACTTTCAACAATTTCTTTTACTCTAGCATCGATTGCTTTGTTTTCATCCAAACCAGGAATATCCCAAAGTTCAATGTTTTTCAATTCTTCCAGTGGAAGTTCAATTACAATTTCATCGTTCATTCCTTCCAGACGCTCGTCCATTGTGACTGGCTTTATTAGTGTTACGGCTTCAGCTAACAGGTCCTGCTTACTATGGAAGTAGCGAGGTTCAGACGGTTTTCCATTTGCAGAAATATGAACGAGTTTCATCCGTTCTCCGTATGTTATTTTTGTTAACCGAGCTGTAGCTGCTTCGTCTCCGGTCGGACATATTTCGTCTTCAAGAAGAAAGTTGATAAAACTACTTTTTGCTGACTTAAGAATACCGAGAGCTGCAATAACAACTTTGTTACGAGCATTTGTTAATGTATGATACGTATTTTCGAATAGACATTTCACAATTGGTTCATCGAGTAATTTGCACAGTTTAATTTCGAAACTACTCAACATATACATGTACCGGACACATTCTTTGGCGAATTGTAATGGTTTTTCATCGAAACGTGTATTGCTCAACAATTTTAGATGAGTTATTCGATCATTAAATTCAACTTGCTTAATTTCATTCACCTTTACAACTTTATCTTTAATTCGATCTACTTTCTGGTTGATCGATTCGATGAATAATTGACGTTTTTCATATGGAGTCGATTTCAAGAGACTATAGTTTGAGCGAAAGAGGTCATCTATGGAACTAATAATCAGCTGAACGTTTTCCCGATACTTCCTCTCCGCAGCCCTCTCGTTGAGTAAGTATAATTCGTCCAGCTTCTCTTCTAATGTTTCTAACTCTGATATGGCATCGGTTAATCCAAGAAGCACACTCAGCGATTTTTCTTCCGACATCTAGAAATACTAAAACTTCACATATTTTTCCCTTTTTTCGACGTAACAATGAAAATTTTTAATGACTCTGAAGGCTGTGAATTGCTCCTTTTTTTAACAGAACGTTTTCAGAAGTCCAGGATGGGGCATGCAAGTGGTTTTGACATATATTTTGTTGAGACAAACAATTTGTAACCATGAATAGATTTCCATTATTTTCTCGTTAATCTTGACTGGATGCGAGTATGTAGAAGTATGTTCTGCGTAATCCTCCTAATGACATTCAGTAGTGATCAAATCCTTTCATGAGGGGCACGTTGAACGATAATATATTACCATCGGCAAGAATCAATATGAGAGATTCGCAGAAAGCTAGCGCAGACGCAAGAATCACAAATACATACCAGAAACGTTTCAAGAACTTGTCTTTTTCGCTACCGATGCATCGAGTCGATTACACAGCTTCAGTGGTTGTACAGAATATTGATACAGAATAGTGAATTTAGTTTTGCAGTTTACTGCAGAGCTAAGTTCATGTGTTCGAATCTCTATTCGTACAAAATTGCTTTTGTGTTTTTCGATAGTGTTAGTTTAGAATACTATAATGGGATACTTTTCTGCTTGTATTCTGACAGAATGAAGCGTATAACAACTTTTTAAGGGAATCGGGAAGTACTCCAATATGAGTTTCGCTAATTGTCGAAAATCCACTTGACTTTCGCCAATATCATCAGTGTACTTTCGCCAATTGACGAAAGTACACTGAATTTTTGTCAATACTATCCATGGATTTTTGCCAATAATTCAGTTCCATGGTCTCTTCATGCAAGTTACAATTTTTTTAAATGAAAAAAGGACATGACTTGCATTGAGAGAGAATACAACTCGAGTCATAATTGGCCAATATCACCAGTGAGCTTTCGTCAGCACACCCCATGTCCGCTCGCCAAGTGGCGAACGTCTGGTTGGCGTACTTCCATGATTCCCTTTTTAACTCACAGTAGTTACAATAAGGCAAGATTTTTCACGACTAATTCTATAGAAACGAAGCAAAGAGATCCACGTACACAACCACAAGCGTCGGAGAATAACACTCTGAGGCCTGTATGACTTTCCTTATATGCACAGAAATGTTTTGACTTGAAAAAGGATGAGAATAAAAGAAATACGTTATTCTCACAAAACAAAGTATTTGTCATAAAATCAACAAAGAATATAATTTGCAAAATGAATAACGGGGGTATCACCTTTTCGAAAAAGAGAATAGTTGTAGATAAGCTACTGAAAGATGTTTGCGGAAGAAACGTGTTTCGTCCCCGTACGATTAACAACGGGGTATTTGTAAACTATGCTACCGCCCACAACCACCTCCAAACTAACTTTTAATTACATGGCTGAATAGAGGATGCCGAGTTGTCTTCACAACCACCCATATTTTTTTCTGTCTTAGCTTTGCTGGAGTACGGGATGGCTGGGAGATATTCGTAAAACATACCCTAGGCGTCGATTCTTATATAAGCATCAGTTAAGAATCTTATAAGAAACTTATAAGTCAAGGGGGGAAAAGCTGAGAACTGAGATGTTTGAGATATTTGAAGTTTTTGAGTGACAAACGCATTCACATTTGTCGACGACGGCGCTATACTGCTGCTTGCATCTTTTTTCTTCATTCCCTCATCTGCAGATGTGTAGCGAGCGATCACAGAATGACCTACGCTAACAAGATATCAACATAAAAAAATTCAGTTTTCACATCGTTACACCCGAATGTCCCTTCCTAG